TAATAGACATTTACTTGAATAATGACTAATTAATAATGACCAAAGGTCATTGGGAAATAATAATGTTTTAGTCCTATTTAGGTAAATTACTTTCTAATAAAACTCAACTTACTCGAGGAGTGTCGTACAAGGGACACCCACACCAACCAACCCATGAGCGTTTGTGTTACTCGTATTTGTATAATGATTGCTCCGTTGTTTCACTTGCTCGGTAAAAAATCAAGCTTCTTCTCATCTTAATTTTATGCTGTGTTTCTGTGATTCTAATTTGTACATAAAAAATGTAGATCTTCTCAAAGTAGTATATAAAGGGAGAGGATACGAAGCTAAAACGCCGTAGTAATAATGCTTCTTCATATTCTTCTTCTTCTTCTCACCTTGCAACAATGGGTATTTCCCATTATACCCTCTCAAGCCACTCAGCAGCTACTCCAAGAAGAGTTTCTTTCTTCTTCTTATTCTTCAGTATATATTGGGGAGCAAGAGGGATTGAGGGAGGCAGATAAGATCGGAGGCCTGCCGGAGCAACCCCCCGGAGTGGAGTTTGACCAGTATTCCGGCTATGTCACGGTGGACCCCAAGGCCGGAAGGTCTTTGTTTTATTACTTTGCTGAATCTCCCCACAATGCCTCTTCCAAACCTCTTATCTTGTGGTTAGCAGGAGGTAATATATACTCTTTCTTCTTGAAAATAGTTCCACTTTTGATCAGGTGGTAAAATAAGAAAGTGTTAAATTGTAGTTGACTTCTAATTTTTCCTTTGATGTGATGGGTAAAAGTATGATGTGATAGATAAATTATTAGAGAAAAAGTATGATGTAATTGATATGATAAAAAAAAAGTAAGGGTAAAAGAGTATTTTAATAGTAAAAAATGAAAAATATTTTGTTGAAAGTGAAAAAAATTTAAGAGAAAGTGTTTTTTTTGAAAATCGAGGAAGTATAAGAAACTACCTACCAAATAGTATTGTTGTTGCATTTGATTTAGAATAGATTTCCAAAATTGTGCTTTCTATGTTTTTCAACATAATATTTGGGTAGCACATTTATATACAGGACCAGGAAGCTCAGCTCTTGGATATGGATCATTTCTGGGGATGGGACCATTCAAAGTGCACAGTGATGGGAAAACATTGTACATGAATGACTATTCTTGGAACAAAGGTAGGTTAAAACTTTCAAAAAAAAATGCCAGGAACCCCGTCACGGGTGCCCTTACAACTTTCTCTTCTGTATAAAATCACTAGTGATTGTTATTCGTGGAGGTAACTTTGGTGGGTTTGTAACATCATCCTAACTTTTTTTTTTTGCATATTTGGTTTGGAATATAATTCCAAGCCTTTAATGATAGTGGCAAATGCATTGTGTTAGATGTATAGCTAGAGGTTAATTTGCAACATTATATATATGTGTGTGACAGTGGCAAATGTATTGTTCCTGGAATCCCCTGCCGGTGTGGGATTTTCGTATTCCAACACAACCTCGGATTACGACACTGCAGACGACAACAGGACAACTGCGGATGCATATTCCTTTCTTGTAAACTGGCTCGAAAGGTTCCCCGAGTACAAGAGCCGTGATCTTTACCTGTCTGGTGTGAGCTATGGCGGCCGTTTTGTTTCTGAGCTTGCTTACGCCATTCTACTCAACAACAAAAACCGCTCTCTCCCATTCATCAACCTCAAAAACATCGCTGTGAGTTTCATTACTTTTGTATATGGGGGAATTTAAATAAATAGCACTAAAACATAATGACTTTCCCTAAACAGCACCACATGTGTTTTTTTCCCAATCTTGCATTTTTAGTCATTTTTTATTAATCATTATTCAAGTAAATATTGGTAATCACTGGACATTATGTACATTATAAAGTGCTATTTAGAGCATAAAACAATTTAAATGCTATTTAGTGCAAATATTTCTTTGTATAAGTACATAGTTTTTCGAACATCAAAGAACGAACGATGAAACTCTACCCTTAGCTTGTTTTATTGTGTGCAGATTGGGAATCCTGTTTTAGATTTTCGTTTAGCCGCGAAAGGGAACTTAGAGTACATGTGGACCCACGGGATGATCTCAGACACAACTCATGAAGCAATAGCCAAATACTGTGATTTTGAAAGCGGAAAGTATTCAGACACGTGCAACGCGTACATGTCTAAAGCAAACTCCGAGGCCGGGCCCGTGCCAAGAGCCAACATTTTCTCCTACGACTGCGACACCACACATAACACATCAAAACCTCAATCCTTTCCCATCACGGTGTGCATTCGTTTCATTTCTATACACACGATTTGCTGTTTTTATATATTCGTTTGTGAAGTGTAATGTAACGATGATGATGGTGATTGAAGGGATACGACGAGTGCTCGCGCTATTACGTGGAGAGATACGTCAACCAAAGGGATGTGCAAGAAGCATTGCATGCTATCAATACTAATTGGACAATTTTAAGGTACTTGGAATACTTGCATAAACTTGCACAATTTGATGGAACCCAAAGCTCTTTAATTACTACGTGTAATGCATTTTTCCTTGTTTTCGCAGCAATTATGTCGGCCCAAGGAACTGGAATAATATGCCTATGACTGTTCTGCCAATACTCCAGCACCTCATTGCAAATAAAGTGCACATTTTGATTATAAGGTAAACTAACTAAATTGAATCTCGACAAAAGGAGTATTAATTTGGGTTATGCTTGATTGACCCCAACATTTGAACCCCAAGATTTAACCCCAGTCTTACATTCAGATGATCTTACACAGACACTAAGACTGGAGTTAAAATTTGGGATTCAAATGTTGGGGTCAAACTTGAAATGATGATTTTGGAAACCAAAACAATGCAGTGGGGACCTGGATGATATAATGTCAGTAACAACAACCAGGCTTGCAATTAGAACTATGAAACTTCCTGTGGTGACTGATTGGCGTCCATGGCTTTCTGACCACACACTACAGGTAGGTTTGATAATGACCCTTCTTGAACAATATTAATTTTAAGAGATCTCTGACACCGACGGTGTCAACAACCTTGATGTCATCCATGGTGTGACTATTTGAATACGATGTCGTACTTGTGCAGGAGGTGGGGGGATACGTGGAGGTGTACGAGGGATTGACACTGGCGACGATACGAGGAGCGGGGCACGAGTTTGCCAGCTACCAACCACAGCGTTCCCTCGTTGTCATTTCGTCTTTTCTTCAAGGGGAATTGCCTCCCTCCCGGGCCAGTTTTAGTTAGCTAGCTATATAACTATTACTAGAACAAGAAGATTATGGTGTGAATGAACATTATTAATAATCCTGGGATGGAAGTTGTGGCTATGGAGGTGTGTGGATGAAAGATCATTATGGTTCTTCTGGCCGGATTAAAGTATTTATTTTGTTGGTATGCATTTGTGTTAGCTTGGTATTCAAATGGGATATCCGTTATCGGTGTAGCCCTAGTCTAATTCTTTTACTTATACATCAGAATTTGTTTAATTTAATTGGAAATAAATTAGAGTGGACCAATGTTCCCTGGCCAAAACCTACCTGAATCAGCCAATCAGCCTTAGCTTGCTGATGTTGAATCCACGCGCATTGGTCAAAAGAATGCCATTAATTTTACGAGTAAACTCCGTATGTTTTTTGTCCCACTAATTTTGTCAATAGAGTATGATTCACTCCGTATGACTGACTCTATACATCGTTGCACAATACACATTAAACAATGCTCTTTTTCTTTCTTTCCTCTTTGCTTTTATTCTAATAAAAGCACAAAAGGATCTCTTTATACTCCGTCTCATTATATTCCTTCTACACTTTAAGTTCACTATACTCCGTATTTCTTATTCCATCATCCAAAATCTGAAGTTCTTGCTTATTTCATTATTATTTTTAATAAAAAATTATTATTTTTGTTCCATAAAGCTTTTAAAGACGAAAAAAATACACTTCTTAAAATATGTAATTTTAATATTATTTTTAAAAAAATTTCTTATCTAATAAGGAGTAATAAAATAAGATATGATACTCTCTCCGTCCCCAATTTGATTACAAATTGCGGTTTACGGAAAGAAATATCTCACTTTTTGAAATTATTTTATTTACAAATCAGTATATCAATAAGAAATAAAAATTACATATTAAAAAACTACGTCAAAAGTTCTACAAAACAAGAAGTAACAAGAATATTTTATTTCATCAAATACTTAATTAAATCGCGTAAACAAACAAAAGTGATCGAGAGGATAAAGAAAAAAAATGTAATCTAAGTGGGGACGGAGGGAGTAGGGTTAGGTTGGAAAAACCGAAAACCGCAAACCGAACCGAAATCAATCGAAACGAGCTAGAAGAAAAACCGAACCGAAAAAACCGAAACCGAATGTAAAAAACCAAACCGAACCGGTTAGTGTTTGGTTCCGTTTTGGTTTTCACTTTGAAAAACCGAACCGAACCGAATAAACCGAACTTTCTTAGATACTTTGCTTTATTTATATGAATATATGTGATTTGTAGAAAAATCATAAAAATATAAATGCAAATAAATTACTAGTCGATTAAAATTATTTTCTTATCTATTAATTAAACATTCTAGCCATATTATTATAAACTTTAAAAAATTTAAGAATATATATGAACGCCAATAGCTAATCCTAATATAGAATTATATTAAGATTAAAAATTGATACGCGTAATTTACATATTTACAAAAAATTATTTTGATGTTATAATGAAAATGAAAGTATTATACAAAAAATATAAATTCTTCGTAATTGATTTTACATACAATATCTTTGGAAGTATTTGGAATCTTCTAAATGTTTGTTGACACTCCACACATATTTTTTTATGTAAAATTGAACTAAAAAGATCAATAACCTTCCGTTTGGTTCTTTGTTTTTGTGTACAAATCAAATAAAAAACCCAAATCTAACAATACATATTATTATTGTTTCATCGAGTTAGTGTTTTTACAATTTTTAATGCTTATAAATTTCTACTTTTATAAATCGAAAAAAACAAAAAAACTGAAATAAAAACCATATAAAACCGAAGCAAATAACCAATAGTTTACATATTTTTTATGCAAAATTGAACCGAACCACCAATTTACCTTCCGTTTTGTCTTTGGTTTTATGCAAAAATTGAACCGTTAAAACCGAACCCACCCCTAGAAGAGAGTATGTAAATTAGACTCATTTGTCCATTTATATGTATCTCACTATAAAAGGGAGTGCCTCTAATCCAATCTATAGGGTACTTACCACTAGTCAACAATTAATAAAATAATTGAAGATGAATTTGGTAGAGATATGTCTCAATTCCTCCTTGCTTCTTTTTCTTCTTATCTCCCTGCAACAATGGGTTTTTCCCATTATACCCTGCCGTGCCACTCCTACTGATCAAGCTCAGCGCCTCCATAGCTTCATCACCTCCAATTTCATCTCACCAAATAATAATAATAATATTAACCTTCCCCTCTCGGAAGAGTGGCCGGAGCTAAACCAAGAAGACGTCGCCCGAGACTTTCTTTCTTCTTCTGCTTCTTCTTCTTCTTCAGTATATGTTGGGCAGCAAGAGAGATTGAGGAAGGCCGACAAGATTGTCTCCCTGCCGGATCAACCTCCCGGCGTGGACTTTGACCAGTACTCCGGCTACGTCACGGTGGATCCCAAAGCCGGAAGGTCTCTGTTTTATTACTTTGTTGAATCTCCCCACAACTCTTCTTCCAAACCCCTCATTTTGTGGCTTACCGGAGGTATTATTATTGTTGTTGTTGTTGTTGTTGTTTTTGTTAAATTCTTGTGGACTAAATCGATTTCGGTTGAATTGATTCATTGATATTTAGAGGTCACGAGTTCGAGTCTCAAAGTATCATTGGTTATATATGTAGGGCCAGGATGCTCATCCTTGGGAAATGGAGCCCTTTTGGAAGTTGGGCCTTTCAAAGTTAAGAGTGATGGGAAAACACTCTACAAAAATGAGCATGCTTGGAACAAAGGTCAGCACCCACCCTCCCCAGACCCTACTCTCGCGCTGCGATTCAACTGGGTCATTGTAGTTGTTGTAAAAATGAACATGTATATATCTAAAACAATCACACACAAAAAAATGAAGTGTGTTAAGGTTTTTTTTTGCTAAATTTTCTGTGTGTGTGTTTGTGTGTGAAACGACAGTGGCAAATATATTGTTCCTCGATTCGCCAGCTGGCGTGGGGTATTCCTATTCCAACGCCACCTCGAACTACAACAACACGGGCGACAAGATCACAGCCAAGGACTCGCACACCTTCCTAGTCAACTGGCTCCAAAGATTCCCACACTACAAGACCAGAGATTTCTACATTGTGGGAGAGAGCTTCGCCGGGCATTTCGTGCCTCAGCTGGCTTACACCATTCTTGCCCATAACACCATCTCCAAACACACACCCATCAACCTCAAAGGCATTGCTGTGAGTTTTATATATATACAAAAAATAACTCTTTCTTGGGCGAAATCGAGCATTTTAGTTGATTTTAATGCGTTTTTTTTGGGTCTAGATTGGGAATGGTTTACTGGATAATGATCTATTCTTAAAAGGAATCATGGAGTATCTTTGGGCACACGCAATGATCTCAGATGAGACTCATGCCGGAATCAACAAGTATTGTGACTTTGCTCATGGCAGCTATCCTGCAACGTGCTCAAAGTACACATCGCTAGCGTTTTTGGAGGAAGGCCCCGTGTCTATAGGTTACATTCACAACTCTTATTGCAATCCAAATGCAACCAAACCCAAATCTCCTGGTTCGGTGAGTAATTCATTCTGCCAATAAACGATATGTTAAACTGGGTGGCGATGAGTTTCGAACTTCTGATCTCTCTAGGTCAGCAAGGCTCTGATGTCATGTTAGGAAACCATGTTAAGAAAAGTTTTATATATATTCTCTAACAAAAGTATGATCTCGTTGAGCTGAAACTAAGCGAATGTGTGGTGTTTGAAATCACGACGAAAGGGGTACGATGAATGCGCGGGCTTATATGTGCGAGCGTACCTCAACCGAAAGAATGTGCAAAAAGCCTTTCATGCTGTCAGGACGAATTGGACAAGTTGCGGGTAACTCCACTCTCAACCACAAGCATCCTTAAACAAACAGTTCTGTAATGAAATATGACAGAAACATTTGAAAACTGTGTGCAGCACAAAAGTTGGGTTCAGGAACTGGAAGGATGCTCCAAGAACAATGGTGCCCTTACTCAAACAGCTCTTTGCAAAGAAACTAAACATATGGCTTTACAGGTAACTAGTTCAGTTCAAACACCCACAAACCACAAATGCACAACAAAAACCAGATTTGCCATGAAACTTCAAATGTCAACGCGAATTGTAAAAAAAAAAAAACATGCAGCGGGGATGCAGATGCACTCATATCAGTGACAACAACAAGGCTTGTGATAAACAGCATGAAACTTCCCGTGGTGACTCCTTGGCGTCCATGGTTGTCTAAGGGTGGACAGGTACTAACAGATGTTTTTGCAGCCATGTTTTCCACATCATTAGTCGAAATACAATTAAAAAAACACAAACCAACATATAAATATGGTTCACTGCATTATGAGCATAAAACTTTTCCAGAGACTGAAAAAATCACAAGCTTGAGCGTTTGATTTGCAGGAGGTTGGAGGATATGTGGAAGAGTACAAGGGGTTGACTCTTGTCACAATACGAAACGCTGGACATGCGCCTCCCAGCTACCAACCGGAGCGCGCGCTCACTATGGTCACATCTTTTCTTCAAGGGAAACTTCCCCCCTCGGCTTAGTTAGCTATACAACAAGCTGAGGTTATTGTTTTTATTATGTTCCCACACAAACAAGATCATTATATCTGTATGTTAATAACTTTTTACCGGCCATTATGACTTTTGTGGTACATCTGAAGTTGAATGAAAGAATTCATTTACTTTTTAATGTATCAAGAAAGTCGTAATGATCTTTTAAAAAAGAAAGGGAGAGAGTGTGTATTAAGACTTTTCTCATTCTAAAAGTTGAGCCAATAACAATGATGGTTGAAGGGGGCAAATTTCTAAATGTTTCCGTTTTGACTTTGCACGGATTTTTAAGTAAACTTGTTCGGTTGAGATTCTTGAGAGTTGTTTAGTAATCATGAAACATACTAATTTCTTCCATAAAATTAGGAACATAAACACTACGTTTGGTTCGTGGAATTTGAAAAAAAAAGAAAAGAAAGCTCTTTTTCTCTTTTCCTTCACCAAAATGGAAGGAAAATCATTGTCTTCACTTTTTTTCTTAGTGCATTTTCTTCTCCTAATTTTATTTTCTTCCATTTTCTTTTCTTTTCCTCTCTAACCAAATAAGAAAAGTTGTTGTTTTCCTCTTTTTTTTCTTTTCTCCTCTAAATTAAACATAGTGAAAATGAAAAGATGAAAAGGGGACATGTCACATGTGAGTATAACAATACAACTGTCTTGGGCCTTACTTTTTTACTATATGGTCGGCCCCCGGCCACTAGCGGTATGTCTGGTGGGGTAGAAATAGGAAAGAATTTGAAAACTTATTAAGTTTAGCAATGGGAACGGACCTGAACCAATTCAATTTGCTTGGTACTATGATTTCTTTCGTGTGAAACTATAATGCCCGTTTACATTGCTTTCAAACTCTTATATTTATCAACTCTTACCGCCCGGTTTACGTGACATTAAACATCAATGTCATACGATGATTCGGGCTTCATACGGTGTTCCATTTGGACAATTGTTCCCCTAACACCCTCCTACCTTCCTTCACTGATTAGCTACAGTTATCATTGTAACTAATAAGAGAAGAAAATGGGGTAAGATTCATCATTTTTTCGAACGGAGCATCATAGGAGCATGGATCTTCATATTAGATTGATGCTCAATGTCACATGAACTGCCCCCTTATCATTATGATTAATTATACTCCCTCCGTTCTGTAATAAAATTTCAAAATATTTTTTCCTCTGTCCCAAAACACATCATTTCTTTGTCTTCTCCACCAATTTCAACCACACAATTTCATTTTTTCTTAATCTTCGTTCCCGGTCTCTTGTGCATAACAAATTAGAGGCTGCTTCGGTTATTGTGTTAAGTCTATTGAAGATCCATCAAATGCAATGGGCGTTGGTTGGGCATGGACATTGTGGTTTGGGCGATGCATGACTTTGGTTGTGGTTAGGGTGACCGAAAATTCGATAACTAATCGGTTTCGTATTCGTTTATATAAAAAATATTTGTATCTATTTAAAACTACTAATAAATGTACTCAATTGAGGACATCAAATTGATAAACAGAATGGAATTATGTCCTATCCGTTTAACATTGCATCCGCATGTATATCAATTTAAAAAACCACATATCTGTTTAGTTATATCTCTATTTTTAAAAAATAAATTTTTAACATACATGAAAGTAAAAATAATAATATATACTCGTATTTAAATTTAAACATAAAATTATAATCACTATTTTAGTTTCATTTTCAGTCGGGGAAGTGAGACCACAACACCTTTCATTTTTTTATTTTGATATGTTTGCATGCCAAAATATATACTAAAGTATATCTAGAAAGACTATATTCTCAAAATAAGAAAAATAAGACCAAATTACACTTGAATAAGGATATTAAAATATCTATACACTCAATTCAGTTTTGACTTTCAAAAATTAAAACCGGATGCAAATACGGGTATCTGAATATGAAATTCGATAAAATTTAACCGATGTTAAACATAGCAATGTCACATCCAATCTGTTTAGTATCCATTTACACTCCTAGATATAGTAACAATAAACAGAAAAGTAAAAAACGAAAACGAAGAGAATGAAATTGAGAACCAACAGAACGATGAAAATAAGAAGATCCCCAGCTAGAATCTTTACGATCTTTCCTTAAAAAGCATTTCCTTTTTGGGGATTATGTTTTCAAGAAAACCAGTTTCATAAATAAACAAATCTTATGTCAAGAAGGGAAATCAATGCCAACTATTTTGGAAGCTAAAAAGTGTGACAATAATACTCTACATGTACATGGTCAAGCCTGCAATACTTACCACTCCAAGAACATATCTACACTCAGCGCACCAGAAACACCTGCCGCGAAACATGCATTTGCAACCTATGAAGATCTCTAAAAACATAATCCCAGCAGATCCTTTATATTACCTCGGTTGGGAAAAAAATTCTGCAATGTGAAAAAAAAATCACTTGAATTCATGGAAAGATCAACCATGTGGGGAATTAAAACTTCGGACGTTCTTGAATCGCATAACTGGGAAATGCTGCTAGAGTTGCACTGGAAATTTAATGAAATTCGGGGGACAAAAAGTTACCTAGCTAGGAAAACAAAGAAGATACAACATTCAATTCTTATAAATTTTGGACTTCCTCGAGGACTCCCAAGGCCTGGAGAATGCAATCAACCCACCTGGACATTCATAGAATATATAAATTAGATGCAAATTGGTTAATAAGTGAATAATGAACATCTTTCTTGCTCGCACTATTTCGGAAAAGTTAATAATTTAATATAGCTTGAGAGAATGTCATATAGACTAATAGACCTCATTTGGATATGAAAGCATAATTCCCAGGAGGGAATCATGTCATATATCCACATTTCCAAATGAATTCTTGGGAATTCTCAACTTCTCAATTGGGAGGTATCACATGTCTCCACTGGACCATGGGGTTTTGCTCAATTCCAGGGAATTATCCCCTTATTTTCGAGTAGTATTGTATCTAAATCTAATTCATTGATTTCATTCAAATCCCAATTATTCAACTTCTGGTCACCAAATCAATCAAATGAGGCATAAAGCATAATAAACACGTTAAAGATTATATATACTTTGTGTGTGTGTATTTGTCACTGAAAAGGTTACGAGCAACAGATTACCCATCAAGACCAGGATTTTTGGGAAAGTAGACATTTCTCAATCCAAGTTTTTTGGCAGCCAAGGCAGTTGTTTCACCTATGCATGCTATAGCATTTCCTTGCTTTTCCGCTGGTGGAATAAGATTTGCCCATGTACTGTTCCAATGTGGAAATACATGATAATATTCAGTGTGTACTAAAGAAAAATATGTCACTGAAGCCATTCAAGGGATATATAAAACAACTACAAGGAGATGAAATCTTCTGGCTATGACCAACAAGTGAATCAGAAAGAGTGTTAATGAGATTATTGTGATGAAAGTGGTGACTACTCTAAGAAGGTCCTTACTGAATGGCAGAAGGTGATGCTACAGCAACAACAGGGGTACACAGTGCTACTCTAAGAAGGTCCATATCAACATGTTGGACTGGCACCTGCAAGGGACCAAGAGATATCAGTGGGATAGACACCTATGAATTAGCTTTTTGTACTTTTCCTGAAGCAACTTAGTAAAAATGTATTTGGGAGGAGCTAGGGAGTGAGTTACACGTACAAAAAAAAATGACTGCATCAGAAATTAACGACAGCGACTAACAGGATACCGTATTGTATGTATTCAGCCTTGTCACCGCAAATCCGCGCTTTGAAAGGCCTTCTTCTGGGAAAAAATAAATTACATAAATACATAGTGATCTCAAACTGCTTCAGTTAATTATGTAACATGATTTAGAAACTCTGTCACCCATAAAAAAACACAACTAATCACCACTAGTCCCCTACAGCTGCAACTTACTTATAACAGCATCGACAGAGAAAAGGCGCAAAGGGACCCCTACTAAACAAACAAAACACGCAAACACACACACGCACACACACACACACACACACTTGTCACTTCCTTCATTCCTTCTGTTTATCTATATAAATGAGAAGAGATGAGAAAGGTAATCTAGCTCTCTGGTATTTACATCCTTGTTTTCTTAGAGAAACGCAGAATAGTATAAAATGACAGAGAAAGAAACAAGAAACAGCATAATAAACTTATCCACAGAGTAATATATTTTACATACCAATCTCACCACTGGCTTTAGCTGAAGCAGGATATAGAACAGTACATCTTTCGTTCCCATGCTTAGGAAGCTCTAAAGCTAAGACCTTACCTGTTGCTGAAAAAATGAAAAAAAGAATTGCAATTTTAGTGTCAATAAGCAAATAATCCATAAAACAACCAGTACAAAGCTCTTTAGGGCTCATTGGATATTGTTTCCTGCTCTATGCTTTCGAGTTTGTAGAAAAGTAAAAACAAGAATATGAACACTTGAAAAAGTTGTTTGCAGCATTTTTGTAACAGTTTTCAAAGTTAACATGATTGCTTTAGATATGACTATTTATAAGTCCTTTGTACAACTAATATCATAGAGCTTGAAAATCATAAAAACCAAAAACTGTCAGTCATACTGAACTAGTCCTTTTTTTACAAGTTAATTTCACAGTATAATTTCTTGATAGGACCACAGTCCACACAGGGCACAGTCAGCACACTATCTTCCCTGATAAAGATAAAAGAGGGAGAAAGGATCTTAACCCATACCTTTGGATGGTGCAAAGGCAACATCAAGACACTGCTTCGATGGCCAACTAACTTTATCAAATATGCTAGCTGTACCCACCCCGACGACAGCAATCCTGACATTTGGGGTCCCAGCAACCCTATTGAAATTTAAGAATAAGTCCTAGGGATCTCAGGAAAAAGGATTGTCATGTCACTTAGTAAATATTTAAGGAAAAAAAACAGACACCAGCACTATGAATGGACATTGTCTGAATAAAAAATTGCCCCTTCCAATTATCTAAAAAAAAAAGGATGAGCCCCATCCCCGAGGGACCCTCATACCCGGCCGGACGGCCATTGAGAATAGGTAAATTGGACTTTGATCGCAGATTAGTGGCAGGATCCCTTACAATTATCTAGAACTATATGGCGATATCTAACAGCATTCTTCCTTTGAATATGTAGATATCATGATTATTGCATTCAATTCAAAAGTCACGAAGACAATAACACTAGGTCTATTGTGAAATGACTGAATGACATGTCCTTCAAATTTCTACACTTTTTCGTCCTTCAAACTTCTAAGAAGTGAAAATTAGAGCTATATGTTAAAATAGCAATATTTGCACAGAGATACTCAAAAGGAAAAATACTACTCGTACTCTGTGTCCATATAATATGATGTTTTCAACCAAATGGAAAAAATGGTTAAACCAAGCATTAATTTAGATTCATTAAATCATTTGGGCCTTACTTCCAAGCATCGAGGAAAACTAGACCAGCCTCTGGTGAAGTTATGACAATCCAGTCAAAGTTGTTTTCTGTCAGGACAAGAAATATGAGAAAAGACTACACGGGCCATGAGGCCATGGCTGTACTACATCAATAAGGAAAAGAAAAATAGTTCCTAGGAGTTATATTTCAGTGACCGGAGAGGGTAAACTAGTATCAGATTAATTTTACAATCAACATGAGTGAATTCAATATGAGATGTGAGGATCTCAGTGTGCATGAAGTTGGAGAAGAACAGGTAAAGAACTGAGACTGTGACATAGATGAGCAAATAAGTTAAGCATGGAAATTGGGAGATCAAATTGTTAAAATTCTAATTTGTTACAGTTGGGATTTTTTGCAAAGCCCTTGAATGTCCACCTGTTTGAGCAATAATATTGTTTGCTTCTTTAAAAAATATCAAACTGTTAATTAACTATTTTGCTTTTAGGTATGTAAGACAACAATGTTGTGATAGTGATGTTAAATGCTGACATAAACACTTATTACATGGAGATACCCAATGAAAATCATAAGGACTTAGAAACATAACACACACTAACAACAAAAGGACAATGACTCGGTATAATTCCAATTCCATTGTGGTCCATAGGGTCAAGATGTGTGTGGTCTTACCCTTGTAATAAACAAATAGGTTGCTTCTGCTAGCCCCTTGATGCACTGCTTCATTTACTTCCCAAAAATTCATAGAAAGTAAGAAGCAAGGGATGTTTAAATCTAACATGGGAGACTTGGCACACCAACTGAAGTGTTGTTGTGTGACCTTGACGTCACAGGTTCGAGTCTTAAAAATAGCTTTTCTAGAAGATGCAAGGTTAGGCTTGTCTGCATCTCGCTAAGTGGGGGCACTTTATTTACCGTGCTTCCCTTTTAAAGTGCCAAGTACAGAAAGAATACACATTTTAAGGACCACAAACTTGGTCTTGAAACACAATAGATGAAACTCTATTACAAAGTGAACCCCTGTAACAAATAAAGCCACCCATAGAACAACAGAATCGGCATTTCAGGGGGGAAAGGCAGATTAAATCTCTAAGAGGTATTTAAAAAAAATCTCTAACACTATGTTTGGTTCAAGGAATTGAGGAAGAAAGGAAAATGATAAGGAAAAGAAAAGAAAAGGAAAGAAACTCAAAATTCTAGTTATGTTTGGTTAAGATGGAAATTGATGAAGAAAATGTATTCTCAAGCTCTTTTTGTTTGGTTAGAAGGAAATTTGGTGAGAAAACAATGTAAATCCAAATTTGAACCCAAAATTTTTTATTGACTAATATGTTTATGACTCCAGCGCCACTTCAATTGCTCCAATACACATCTTGTGTTTCTTCATCATCATGCAATTTAATTAATATAAACAAAAATATATAACCAAACAAAAAGAACTTGCAATTTAATTAATATTATGCCTCACCCACCCATTTAAACTAGAATTCAAACAATTTTAATTTCAGATTAATAGTAGACTAAATCAAAACTATACATTTTTCTTTTTTCAATGAAGTTTTGGGTACTAATTACTACAAACAACTTGAGGGGTCTTTGAAGATTTGATTTTCACACACCATTTGATTAGGGTAGCACAGTTAAGCTAATAAACTGATATTAATAATGATTTCAGAAAAAAAAAACATGCCCATTCTGCAGCAAACCACGAATACAATGAAATTCAATGACAATTTTCTGGGTGGCCTTGGTTGAAAAACCTGGAGGAAGAAGAAGAGATATGGCACTGCCATTCCCTGTGGGCAGCAGGGCCAATGACCTTCCCCCATTTCTGCTTCAAGTGTCTTCCCCACAAATGGTCACTTATGCATCTCTCCCTCAAGGACCTACACACACTGCCCAGGACACACAGCCCCTACCCTTTAATCAGTAGGTATTTAATTTTGAAATGACAAAAAAAATGATTTGTAGTCAACTGCAAAGACAAGCGCACCAGAAACTGCCCTTAGAAAGGATGAGGATGCCATTACCAGCACGCTTGCAAAGGGGTATATCCTAGGCAAAGACGCCGTAGGAAAGGCTAATCAGGTTCAGAGATGGCTGAGGTAGAAGACATGGCAGTGTTTAGGATGAGAAGGTTTCAGAAGGGTTCAGAGATGGGAGCGATGGATTCTCTCGTTTTCCGTCCAAAATCGGGAGGAAAATGATTTTGCCCTTTTTTAATTCATTTTCTCCCCACTTTTCTTTTCCTCTCACTTTTCCTTTCCTTTTCTCACAAACCAAACATAAAATAACATTTCCCTCCTATTTTGTTTTCTTTTCCCATCCAAAATCCTTGAACCAAACATAGTGTAAGAGATATGAGGTAAAAACCTACAGAGAGGAAAGTAAAGAATTGAAAGAACACTAGGCTGCAAATATATCTAAATACTATCTGGAATTTTTGACATCAAAAACAAGAAACACTTACGACACAACATGGAAGGAAGCAAATCCAAATCGGAAAGGTGTGTGTGTTGAATGAGTGGAAGCTCTAGACAATTGATCCCGTGCATTGCCTGCAGAAGATTATGAATAGTGCATTATTGATACATTACTCAATTTAGAAAAGAATAGTTTATAGACATAATCCACCTGAATTGTCAAGGGTATTTGTTCATACATCTGATCAAATCCCTAATGTGATGATTCATCATTATATAAATCAGTAAGCGACGAGAAAAGCACACACTCAATTCCATTTCTGGAAATCTAAAAAATATATAGCATAAACCTAAAAGAGGACTCTTTCACTTAACCAGCAGGGCTTCGCCAATAGATTTTCCAAAATCAGAAAGTAGAGAGAGAGAGAGAGAGAGAGAGAGAGAGCGAGAGAGAGATAGTACCAGAGCTTTGATGAGCTTGCCGTTCTTGCCGCGCTCTCTGGTGACGACAACTTTGGGCTGCTTGGGGGACGCGATTGATGAACCCTCGCCGGAAGATTCTATTTTGATGCGGCTGCGCAAAATTGTGGCCCGGTGAAGCCGCAGGTGAGCGGTGGAGGATGACGGAGGAGGTGGAAGAGGACAGGGAAATGATAGAGAAAGGTGAGGCATAGCCATTGTCAAATACCGTTACCCGATGTCTATAGTTTTATTTATATACTCCCCGTATAATTTTCATGGACCATGCTACATTCACACCATAAAATGTACTGTACACCATTTGTACACTACACTTATGCACAAACATTTTGACGGTTTACACCGACACAAGTGTTGGTGCGTTAACAAAAATTTACATGGACACAAAGTGTTGGTGCGTTAACAAAAATTAGTTTTACACCAACACAAAATGTTGGTGCAAACTTGTGGGGTACAAATTGGGGTATAAGTGTTGGGGTACACATAGCTTAATCCAATTTTCATCCCTTTCTATTCAAATTTATGTTAGTGACATTAACAAAATATTGGCAAGTTAATTGACTAAATTGATTTCGTTGTCACTTTTTATTTTGTAAAAATTTTTTATGTCAAATTTTTATATTTCAAATAATTATTTTATTTCTATACAAATTTGAAAATAAAATAATTTTAAAATTTTGAAATTTTGCAAGGTAAGAGTATACTCCATCTAGGGATCAAATTAGATCAGATATAATCATAAATAATTTTAAATATTACTACATCCATATTAACGTAGGCAGTTTTGGCATGCAGCCACTATTTGTTCTTCATAGCCACCCACTCCTGAAATGTACTCAGTTTAAAATTACTTCCTTTCCAAAATGTTCATTGAAAACGAAACGAAGTGATTAAAAATTACTCTTTTGTCCTAAAATGTCCCCACATTGCACAAAATGAAACAGAACTTTAAGTTTTTTTTTAATTTATTTCATTTAAAGATTAATATACAAATAAAAAACAAATTTATATATTTTAAAAACAACATGAAATATTTTATGTTGTCCAATATAAACATACAAATAAACAAAAAATCTCATAATTTTATTCATCTTAGAACTGACAAAGCATTTTAAATTTTTTTACGCATATCAAATCTTTAAAAATTCATTTATTCATACACTTCGGTGGGAACATTTTTACTGCAGAGTAGAGTTGAGATATTACTACATTCAACTATCTTACTGTAATACATTTCCTAATAGTTGAAACAAATTATTTTTCAACCACATTGTGTGTGGATAGAGTTAGTTGATCACATAGGAGCACCATTTTGGTTAAGAGATAACAAGGAACCACACAATAATATTGCAAGCACACTATTTATTCCAATAAATTAAAAACAAAAAAAGTTCCCATGTCTGGTCCAGAGTTCCAAACTTATGTAATCAAATCTCACTCCTAACAGAATCAATTCCTAAAGAACTACCTCATTTAACTCAAAATTCAATGCCACTCCTGGTTCTGGAGGGTCAGCTAAGAAATTCTACTACATGCCCAATTTACCTTGAATCAACAAAACATATATATATATATATGTGGGTGTGTGTGTATATATATATGTATGTATTATGGCCACAACATGGGCATTGCCATCTTATCTGGGGGAGTTCTCTTGGGAAGACCGTCGCCAACCTATCTAGCTTACTTGTTGTTGGTGGTGGGTCCCGTACATAGGGTACGCCCCATAGCCTCCTGGAGGTGCATACATGCTCGGCGGAGGGGTATGGCGAGGAGGGAAAGGATAACCGTAACCATCATAAAAATGCCCACCATAGTATGCGCCACCGCCTCCCCACTGGTTCAAGAAGTCAGATCTCAACTGCAAAGAATATTAAGAGTCCAGAGTTAGTTATCCATAATTTGGACTCCAAGCTTAAAGGCATATGTAAATTAGATTTATTTACACTAGGGTGATTTTTAGAATGCAACAGCTGAGCCTTAAATCAGACAACTGAAAATAGAATCTTATGATATAGGAGTATTATTAAGTAAAAGAACAAGTTGTGTGAGCTCCGTGAGGGTTCTTTTGGGTTGTTCTCGGCCTCTTTTTGTGGGGACTCCATTCAATTAGATCCACTCCAACCCCTTTGCAGATCAAAACACTACGAATCTTCTCTTTTCTTGTATGGCCGCACATCCATCCCAAAATCTTTCAACTCCAAAGCTCAAGCTTAGAGTTGACTTCCTCCATGGATTGAGCTAGAAGGACTACATCATCAGCGAAGTGATGAGCATCAGTTGGGAATCTCTTCTCCTATGGGCTCAGTTAAAACATCTTCAATTAGGCTCAACAAATAAGGGCTCAAACCTAGTGTAGGCCAATCCTTGTTGGAAAGTCCCTTGTCTCACTTCTGTGTGTTCTAAAACACTACACATGCAAAATTAATGACAGCAGGGGCATACTTTTTTATGGACTTTTTAATGTAAATGAGAGTTTATGGTGAAAGACTTTTGTAGAGGAGAATAGTAAAGAAGGCATTACCGGCCTGTGCACTGGATTTCGACCCCAAGAAAGACGCACAGTCTGTTTGCCAATTACTAGACCTTTCAACTTTTGTAATGCTTCCTCAGCATCATGTCTGCCAAATATGATGGGGCCGCTTCAACTTAGGTATATATTTAGCCAAAAAAACATAAAGAATTTAGCAAATAGTTGAATTGGTTAAAGAAAGAACACCTGTGTGCATATTGAACAAATCCACATCCTTTCCTAAGTGGAATTTTAACAGACACTATTTCTCCGTATTGCAAGAAAGGCTGTCTAAGATCTTCATCACTAACATTTTCGTCGAGGCCTCCAACAAAAATCTACAAGGGTAAATTATCAGCCCAATTAGAACAAAATAAACAAAGACAAAGAGTCTAGAGAAAGATATCTAAGCAACAAACCGTTGTATTCGAAGAATCCCCTTCAGATTGGTGCACATGGGCTGGAGAACCATTTGAGTATCCACCTACCATTATTGGCATTATATTCATATACTTATATAATATGTGGAGTAAATAGCAGACGAGTTGAATAAAACTACATCAAGGTTGCTTAGTAGAGTTTAATGTTACATATAGCAAATACTATGGAAAATAAACAGCTTAACTGCATAAAGTATATTGAAAGTCAGATGGCCTGAAACGAGTAGACCCTTGTAAGCACGGTTAGTATCATTTTAAAATCAAAGTAGATTTCGTTTGACTCAAGTTTTGAGCCACAAGAAAGGCAACTGTCACCATAAAAGTGATGAACTAAAAATTATACGGAGTACTATTTTAACAAAAAATAATTTTTTTGTGAAATGAGATTTGAGGTGCACTTTATACATTTAAGTAGAGTAAAGGAGACAAAGCAAAACTAACAGAAAATGAAGAGCAAAATATTCCAAAACTAAAATGTGTGGAAAAGATTATAGTATCAAGCATGAGGGCTTGCATAATGTCAAAATTATGATGAAAATGGTGTTCTCTTATCATCGAAATGCATAAATCACCATCTACCCTTATACACATATGGAACAGAGAAAAATAAAATACAACAAAATCATCACAAATAAACAGAAGTGTAACCCTGGAGTGTAAGACTATCCTACCTTGTGCATGATGTTGCTGTTGATATCCTGCTGATTTTCGGGGCGTTGCTGCACCGATTCGCATAGCCCTGCTTGAACAATACACACCATTCATTTCAGTCATGGCCTGCAATTTCTCGTTATCATCTCCAAACCTTACAAATCCGTAACCCTTAGAACAACCAGTCTTGGCATCAATGACCACTTTAGCAGCTTTAACAGAAGGATATTTACTGGAAAATGTTTCAAGTAATAAAGTATCAGTAACATCTGCAGCTAAATCTCCTACAAATATAGAAAGGTCAGAACCATTATTTGAACGCTTTTCCCCCATGCTAAATGTTGCCCAATTAAGGCGAAAGGGCTGATCTGTATTAGGCATTAGAATGCAAGAGTATGACTGCAGAATTTTCTCTGCAGCTGCATGAGAACAGAATTCTACAAAACCATATCCCTCTGAGAACCCAGTCTGTTTGTTTCTGATCACTTTAATGGAGAAAACCTGCAAAAGCATTTATTAATATGTTAGAAAAAATCAGTTTTACAAGAGAGCACCAATCATTAAAAAACTGTGTTAAAAATCTATTCAGATGTCGCGTTAATGATACTACGGAGTATATTTGATCCACCTAAAGACAATGCTGTTAATGGGAAAATCAAGGTACAGAAATCATTTATGAAGCACACATCTCAGAGAAATACAGAGAAATTCATACAGAAGTCTTTAACGAAGCATGCATTAATAGAAAAGTCTAACACTATGTTTGGTTCAAGGAATTTGGAAGGAAAAGAAAAAGAAAATGGTTTTCTCTCATTTTCCTCACCAAACTGGGAAGAATTTGATTTTCCCTTCCCTTAGTACATTTTGCCTTCTCATTTTCTTTTCCTTCCACTTTTTTTCTTTCTCTCTAACCAAACATGAAAAATTGTTTTCCATCTCATTTTCTTTTCTTTTCCCTTTCAATTTCTTGAACCAAACATAGTGTAAATGTTGAGATAGTAACACCAAATGTTTTTTAGTAATTGAACTGCTAACCAAGTTCCAGAACCAGTATTCTTCAAAATGGGTTGTTGGTAGGTATTAGGTAACACCATTTGAGGAAAGCTTTCAGATTTACCATAACTCCATACTATTTAAACCTCTGCGGGGAGATTGTATCATAAAATTATTATAGCCCTGTTTTCAGAAGCTAGGTCATTTATGAGTGCAATTCATTTCGGTAACATTCATTCACAATGCAAGTCTTCAATTAAATTCCAGGTCACAATTGATAAATTCATAACTGTATTTAAGCAAAACTTGTACGCATGTATTAAATGCAAAAAACACAAGCTGCAAGCAAAACTCTTTACTTCAAGTCTATGATCCCTAGCAAATCCATGAACATTGGCAGTACAAGTATAATTTGCAAATAAATAAATTACGCATCAAAGCAAATCAAGAAACTTTTTTCCCTGTTTCAGGAAAAATTGCAGATTTCTTTGGTTTTTCTCCTCATTTGATGATTATAATAGATTTTGTAATTTACTAAAGAGCATTCATTGGTCTCATTGGAGTGCGGAAAAATCAGATCAAGTAACTGTAGTAATAAATAATCCAGATCCATATCCAACATCATTAAGTAATAATGTGCAGAATCTTAGTGCGCTCGAATGACAGGTAAAAAAAATGCTGGGTAAAAAAGAAGAATTACCCAGACAATGAAAGAAAGTGTAAATGAAAATTAAATAAATTAAAAAGAGAAACGAAGTGCATATGAATGAATATATGTATAAACATGCAGGACTCGACCTCTCCGGTAGAAGCAAAGCAATTCCGGAGGTAATCCTCGTCCATCCAGTTGTGAAGGTCGCCGATCCAGATGGTTCGGTTCTCGCCGTTGGATCCTCCCCCCTGTTGCTGCGGAGGCTGAGCATGGGGCAGAGGATGGGGGAGGAAGTGGGGGTGGTACGGCATGTAATGAGGCGGCATCATGTGGTGCGGCATTATCGCCGCCGGCGGCGGCGGGTACGGCAACGGTATCCACGGCGGGTGCGCCGCCGCCGCTACTGGGACCACCTTCGCCGCGACTCCTGTCACCTTGCTCTGCTTTTTCTCGGCCTCCTCCTCCTCCTGGTGCTTCTCCGCCGGCGACGGTGATCTTTTGCTCTCTTGTGGTTCAGAACCTTTCGCCGCTTGCATCTTCAACACTCTGTTTCTCTCTCACTCTCTCTCTCTAACCAACGAACTACTGAAACCCTAGAGGGGCGACATACGGCGTACATACGGAATATATATACTCCCAATTTTTTCATTAAATGCTTATTTTAAAATTAAATAATTAAGTCATGCCCATACTGATTTTTTATAAAAAAAAATATTTTAACGTTAAACTCCGTATTTAAATATTTTAATTTATACTTTTCCTTCGTCTAAAAACAAAGTTCTCGTTCATTATTCAGGTTAAATTTCACAAATGGTACTTGAACTTTAGCTGGAATTTCGAAGTGGTACCTGAACTTCAAATCCTTTCACAAAAATCCCTGAACTTACACAATCCTTTCACTAATGAGCCATTAGCCCGTTTCTAGGTTAACTTCCGGTCATTAGGGCCAAATTCGAATTTTATATATTTTAAAATTTTCAATTTGACCTCATTTCTTCTTTTCTTTTCTTCCACGCCCCGCCGCCGCCGCCTGCCGGTCAAAGTCGCCGGAAAATGAACTTTTTCCGATTCCGGCGGGACCAATGTCATTCTCTTCGTCTTGAGACGAGGATCAATAATATCCAAACCATTTTGTCTAATTTGGTCTGTAACTTCTCGAATCTGAATTTTTCTACTCGAAAAAACCCTAAAATTTGAAATTGGATCCAAAATAGGGGGTTTTGCAAATCTTCATCAAATCTTGCAATTGAGGGGTCCTTGGAGGTCGCCCGGATGCCACGACCGCATTGGAGTTGGTGCCCGCCGTCAATTTCGCCGGAAAACGCTCCGACCCGCCGGCATTGGAGTTTGTACACACCATCCAATACACTTCTTTAATTCATTTTATCTTATAATTTATATATTAAAAAATTATAGAAATTATATATTAATAATCTATATGTTAAGACAAATCAAACAAGATCACACATGATTATATTTAGGCTTACTCATTGAGAGAATTTGATGCGTCAAAGTGCTTAGATGAACAATTTCAAAAATCAAAATTAGACGAATATTTCGGAACGGATGAAGTAATTTAAAAAATAACTTTAAACAAATATTGTAACATGTGACCGAAAATTTTTCTTATGGATGGAGCCATGGAGGTATGTGTGATACCTATAGACGTGACTGTGGTGTATGTGTGTTTAGGCTTTTAGAGCAATAATCAGTCAATCAGATCTAGTTTAACATAATTTGTGTACTTTTTACATTAAATTTTGTTTTTTCGAACTTCGAAGAATGTACTTTTGTTTTGTTCTAAATATTTTTTGCCTTTTCTCAACGAGTATTAAATTATGAGAGAAAAATAATGATTATTTATTTGTGCAATTTATAAGTTACTCCCTCCATTCTCAATAAAATATATTCTTTTGAAATCATTTTATTTACAAATTTGTAAATAAATAAGAAATAAAAATTATATATTAAAAAGTATTCTAAAAATTCTACAAAATAAAAGATGACAAAAATATTTTATTTTATCGACTGGAAAGAGAAAAAAAGATTGTAATTAGAAAAATAGAGTATTTAATAAAATAAAATAATAGTATCATCTTTTAAAATTTTACTTTATTTTGCGTAAAGTGCTAAAAATTTTGGAACACATGAAGTAACTCTTATTCAAAAATAAGAAATTGTCCAAAATATGAACAAAAATAGTTTTTATCTCATTATAGAAGTGTCATATTTTTATCCCAAAATATGACAATAGTTCATGTAAAATTGTTGTTTTTACAAATAGTCCTCCCATAATTTAAATATTTTTTTATCATAGTAAAGTTTATAAAATTTAATTTTAGTTCCTATAAAGCACTTTTGGTTTATTCTCCATCTTTTTAAAATTATTTAATACTCTATACATGTTTAACTTATTCTTTTTAGTCAAGAAAAGATAAATTTAGTTACAATGTCAAAATCATTAAAATACTTTTTGAAGCTTAATCGAATAACTACGTACATTACTAAAAATTTGTTTAATTTTTTTTAAAGTAACACTTTAAAAAAACTTTAGCTAAATAAATATCGGAGTCATTTTTAACAAATAACTTCATTATCATTACACTAATGATCACCCTCAAAAAATTACAAAAAATAGTCCGAGATGGTGAGGGTGAGAATTTAGCTAAAATCATGAATTTGACAAATTCTAATAAATTTTACACTAAAAAGAGATCTGTTATTAATTTAGGAAAAAGATTTTTTGCTAAAAATTAAAGTATTAGTTTAGCAAATTTTTAAATGGATTTGTAGAATCGTAGTTATTAAGTATTTTAAAAAACATTTCATTGACTTTGACCTTATAATTAAGTGAATCTTGAATAAAAAGAATAAGATCATAGTGAATGACGTATTTAATAATTTAAAAATAGAATTGAATTAACAAACAGAATTTAAAAGGGACTAATATTTTTTTATAAATTTTACAAAGATAAAAAATATTTGAACTAAGGGAGGACTAACTACAAAAATAATAATTTTATAGTACAGTGAGGATTTTATTAAATAATATTATGGAGAGACCAAAAAAACAAAACTCACCCATTACCGGTTCCCAAAGCGGTCAGATTTTATTATTTTTTTCATTCTATCACATTCAACTAAGAAGGAAAACAAAAGTATTATCTCCATTTCACAAAAGTATTATTTTTTTTATTTATTCGTTTTTACAAAATTCACTTTGGTTTAAAAAAAACCACATGTAATTTAAAAAATTGTTTGATTTTGTGAGAAAATGGAGTGTCACAAAATAAATAAATAAATAAGGGTCTGTTTGGGAATAACATTAGAGATTAGGATTAGCGTTTTAGATTATTTTGAAAATGCTAAACGTTGTTTGTAGATAACCTTTTGAAAACACTAACGCTTATCTTTAAAGTTATTCGCAAACGGGGCCTAAATAAATTACGAATGCCTTATGTGAATTAATCGGATCAGATCATAAACAATTTTAACTATAACTGCAATCAGCTTAAATCAAATTAGACCAGATCAGATTAAATCAGTTCAAATCAAATCTTTGAAAAATCAAATTAAGCCAAAACCATCACATAAGCATTATGCAGCGGCATTCAAATTTCGAGAGGGTTTACTATATTTAACATCCGCCATTTATGGAAAAGAAATCAAGTGTTCCGGTTTAGGAAAACTGCACCCACCTGGTTAATTAAATCATTGTTTCGAAAAACCACGCGTAAAAAACAAAGTTGTTGGATCGGAATTAACGTTTTTGGTATTGCCCCGTGTCTATTTTCAATGAATATTATCAATTAAAAAAAAAATAAATTTCATTGTTCATAAAAACAAGAATAATAAGAATGTTTTTTTAATCAAATGATCACTAAAAATATACATATAGACATAAATTATTATCAAGATACTGTAATAATAAACAGAACGAAATATATGAGGCGGGGGTGGAAGTAATATTGACATCACTTACAAAAGACTTAGGCATTATTTGAGAATATTTTTTATTAGCATTAACATTTTGGATTAACTTTTAATGGTATTGATTAATTCTAAAAACGCTAACGTCAAATGCTACCGTCCAAACGCCATTTCAAAACATTAACTTCTAACATTAATACCAAACGAGGTCTTAATTGTTGGAGCGGTATAAATGTGACTATTTCAAGTTAAAATTTTAAAATTTAGTGGGACATTGATTCTTTTTTGGGTGAAAAAGTATATACAAATATGGGTTGTTCTTCCATGACTTAAATATCTGTATGTGAAATACAAATACAGACATTCTCATATTTTTAAAGAGCTAGCAAGTTGAATTTTTCTTTTTTGTATAAGCCCAATTTTTTATGGATCAATACATTAACGATTATAAAACGAGCATGTACCTTGACATCACGTAAGAATTTGTCTACAAAGATATACTGAGTATTAAATTGCAATGAAGTTAATAGTATTAAAAAGGCTAATAGTATTAAAAATGACATTGGCCATGTTTGGCACTTGACGCATCAGCCAAGAATTGGTTGTTTAACTACTATTAATGACTTGGACCTGCCAAAGAACAAAAAAAAAAGATTGTTTGGTGATGACTTTTGAAATTGGCTTCTTAATCTAAAGGGGGTGGTTCAGGTGAGAAATCTAAAAGGGGTGGTTCAGGTGAGAATGCATCTTGGTGAAAGAAAATAAGAATAAAATCTAGCCTTTGGATCTGATGTATTGTGCGACTGAGATTGCATCCTGCACTAAAATTTTGAGATAGTGCATTTTTAAAGGATTTTAGTGCATTTCAACATGATGCATTTTCAAATAATTTTAGAGCACCTGAATTTGATGCAATTCGGACCCTTAGATCTCACAATCTAAAGTACTAGATTCATTCTTATTTCTTTCTTAAGATCGCATTCTCACTTGAATATATATATATATATATATATATATTTGTTTTCTTTTTTGAAGAAAATGAAGTGATGAATTTGGGTAATAATTAATTTTAGTTTTCTTTAATTCCTTTTATTGAGGGATGGCATATTCCATTGTGATTCCACCCAAAAAAATGGTTCCCCGACAGACATCCTATCATAAAATGTCGACTCCTTGATTTACATGACTTAATTTATAAGTGAGCCTAACGTCAAACCCTTTGAATAACTATCTAAACATTTTTATAAATACTGATTTAATTTGTTTACTTATAAATGAAATACTCCGTAATTAAATTAGACCTAACTTAACTTCTAAAATTAATTGAAAGGGTTAAGATATCCAAACTATTTTTTATTGGGTCGTTTGTGAATAACACTTTCGATTAGCGTCAGCATTTTAGTTACAGTAAAATTTAAAATGGTTTATACTAATTTTGAAAACGCTAACACTAAATGCTATTCCCAAACATACTTATTATGCTTTAAATACGGCAAAGATTTCGTTCACATTGTAATTTAGAAATATCAGAAGTGCTTGAAATAGGCAAGTGTCATCCGTTGACAATAGATTCCAGTGTCAATGGAACCTTGCCGATATTTAAATGACATAACCCATATACTCCCTCCGTCCTTCTAAGATCTTCTCGTTTTGACTTTTTGTAGTTTTTAAGGAGAGTTGAAAAAAGGTGAAAGTTTACCATAATACCCTTAATGAAAATAGGTGGAGTGTATTAAATGAAGTGAGTAAGGTGTAATAAATAAAGTAAGTGGGGGTAGTTGTGGTATTTT